TTGGAATCCCGAGTGTCCAATTTTACATTCCCTCCAAGTCAAGTTGCAGGAAAAGGGGAGCATATTTAAAAGAGCGCCTGAGTGTTGTGAGGCTGGGTTACAGGTGCCTCCCTGATCCTGCTAGCTTACCTAATGAGGTGTCCAATTGTTAAATCTAAGTGGAGTACTGCCACCCTCCAGAAGTGACTGGGGAGAAGTGACTCTGGGCAGGCCACCTCTCCTCCTCCCTTCTGCTTCATTCACGATCGGTTCTGAAACTGCTCAGAAAACATTCCAGTTACATTTTAACATGCACTTCAGAGAATGCATATGCTTCTGTAAGTGCCATGGCACTGTGCTCACTAATAGACTCCTACCAATAGTTTCTGTGTTCAGACTTCAGGAAACCTGAGTCAAGTACTTTCATAATAACCCATTCTCAGAAAGTCCCTTTTGCCACTGATCTGGGAAGTACCAGCTCTGTTGAAACTCAAACTCCACTGTCTTAAGGGGATTATGATTTTAAAAAGCAAAAAACCACAGTCTTCCCATTTTTTAACAAAGGCAAATGCATGGTACTTTTTCTTAATAAAGATTTACTTATTTTTATTGGAAAGGTAGATATGCAGATAGAGGGAGAGAGAGAGAGAGAGAGAGAAAGAGAGAGAGATCTTCCATCTGTTGATTCACTCAAGTGACCGCAACGGCTGGAAGCTGATCAGAAAGCTGATCAGAAGCCAGGAGCCAGGAACTTCTTTCAAGTCTCCCACACAGGTGCAGGGTCCCAAGGCTTTGGACCATCCTCTACTGCTTTCCCAGTCCACAAGCAGGAAGCTAGATAGGAAGTACAGCAGCCAGGACATTAACTGGAGCCCACATTAAATCCCAGCTTATGCAAGGTGAGAATTTAGTTGCTAGGCTGTCGTGCTGGATCTGCATAGTACTTTGACCAAGTTTCTTGGGGTTCTGTAGCTACTGACTTAATAAATTAAAGTGCTTGCAGAAAAAGCCAGCATCCAGACATGATGTAGATGGGTCGTCTGAGATTTGAGATTGTGATTCAGAAGTGGAGTTCAAGAACTTACCACTGATGTGCAAGGGACCTTAAAATGGTCTCTGCAGCAGGGAGAAATTAGATGATAGAGTCGTTAGACAAGGGCACTCTCAATGCAGAGTGGCAAAGCAGAGTGAAGATGCTGTTTGTTAGTGCCTGGATAGTTCATGCTTTTCTTGGCTCTCAGTTTAGCCTCCCAGAAGCACAGCATGGCCCGTGGCCACAGTACTGTCTCTACTTTGCAATGTGGTGCCGGTGCTTTGCCATCAGAAACCTTCACTCATCATCCTTACTAACTTGACTAACACCTTGAAGTAAGCAGGAGTTCAAACGCATACGTTTTCCCCATGCAAACATTTGGAAGACAGTGTAGCTAATGTTTGATTCTAATGCCAACAGTATCTTTCTTTGAAATGGTCTGAACTGGAGGTTTTTACGTGAATTATTTTCTCTTCCTCTTGCTTTGTTTTCCACAAATGCGCATTCAGTTCAATTAGCTGAATGTCTCTACTCTACTATGGACTTTAAAGGCTCTGATAATTCTAACCCTTCCCTGCTCTGCTCATTTCCCACCTACTTCCTGGCACTGCCCTGAGGGATATTTGTATGGACAAAGCATCTCACCTCACTGGTCCTATTTTCTTCTCCTATAAAATGAGGAATTGCTACTAAGTTATTCCTGAGCTTTCTTGTGTCCCTAAAAGTTAAATTGTATTTACAGGACTCCTTCTTAACTAGAATTATTTAAAAACTTTTCCCAGGTATCTATTTGTGTTTGAGTTCAACAATAACAAAATGAATCAGAACAACTCCAGCCATTGACCATCCCTTCTCCAATTCACCTTTTAAACTAATTCCATCTGAGTCTCTCTTGCTTTAGCTGTTGAAACAATAGTTTTGAATTCTTGTGACCTAATATACTTCTCACTGCTTGGTTTCTCCACATTGGCCCTCCCCATTCAGAAATTTCTGGAAAAGTTTGTTACAGATGCTAAAAAGTTTGTTCACATTGACTTATCTGCCATGTTTAAAAACAACATGTGATTCATGAGTCATGGAGGGCTGGTGGATGAATTGGGTCTCAGGGTTAAAATGCTAGTTAAGATACCTACTTCCCATGTCAGAGTGCCTATGTTCAAGACCTGGCTCTGTGCTTGAGTACAATTCCCTGCTAGAGTACATCCTGAGAAGAGATAGTACTTGAAGCTCCACCACTCAGGTGGCAGAGCTGCACTGAACTGCAGGCTGGCCCCATTGTGGATGCGTGGGGAGTGAACCTGCAGGTGGGAGCATTCTCTCCCTCATCCTCTCTCCCATCCACTCAAATAATTGGTCATGGTGTTACATGATTTTTTTCTTTTCTTCATGCATTTTTATTTATTTAATGCTAAAATATTTGCTCTGCTTTTAAGACTATATCATAATCTTTAAAAAAAATTTTTTTAAGATTTTTGTTATTACCCAGCACTGTGCTCCTTTTGTTTCTTCTCTGACCCTACTCTTCACACTTAACAAGTGGCTTCATGTCCTACCCACATTTCTGTATATCATGTATCTCCTACAGGTCTCTAAAATCTAACATTCCTACACCACAGGAAAAGACATACTCAGATCCAGAAATCTATTTTTTCCTTCTTGCTTTTAACATTGTTTCTTTGCCCTTAGAGTAGCTACAGGCTTAGTGTAATATGCCTGATATTAAGTGAAGAACAATGGTTGCCTTTAGTGGATATTCATAAAACATGTGGTCAGTGAACAACTCTATCTCATAATCTCATGAACACCTGTGAACCAAGAGGTTCAAATAGTAAACACAGGAACTGCAAGCCAGCTGTAGGGCTTTAGGTACCTAAAGTCTAGTACATTGTACAAGACCTTCCTAAACCTTAGTGGGGGAGCCTTGTAATAATGCACATGTGTAGCATGGGGGTAAAAGTGAGAACCAATTGAAATCAGCCACCAAAATTTAACAAAATAGTCATAATTATACTCTAATGTCTTCAAACAGCAGCCTTGATTCCTAGGCATGGGAGAGTAGAAGCATCTTAAGTTGGAATGCCTAAGCAGGCTCATCACAGGGTAGCTTTTAATCTTCCATGTTTTGGACAATTCACAAGAATTGCCTAGTGGATGAAAGGATAAAATGAGTGACTGATGGGAACAGAAGGTGTGGAGCCTGGGTAGAGGTGTGGGAGAGAAAAAAGATGACCTGCCCACTCCTCTTCCTTCAGGAAGGAAGGAGACAAAGATTTGAACTCATAGATGTCTGTCTCTTGGAGTTATTATGTAGATGAGATTGTATTTATCTCTACAAATAAGCCTTCCAAAGTTTTTATCTTCTTTCAGACAACCCAGTGGACTAATATATTCTTAGATATACAAACCAAATGCTAAAATCAAAATGTTATTGATAAAAAGTAGATTTTTAATTGAATAAAAATGTAACAATGAATATAATTCTGTGATTTTCAAATCATGCTCCCAGGAATTCTCATAGATCAACCATGTAACAAAAAAATAAAATACAGGAGTGGCAGAGATTTTTTTTTCTATATATGCACACACCATATATACTGATATTTTTAACAAAGTTTCTCAAGCTTGCTGTTTGTTTGCTTTTATTTAGACATGACATTTCTGTTAACATGGTGTTGCTTGAGCAAACCCAGGCTGGAATGCACTGATGCATGCATGCATGCAGCAGGATAAGCTGGTGGAGAATGAGTGCAGATTTGTAAAATTGAGTTTCACATATTTGGGGCATACTGTTAAAAGTGTTGGTTTTTTGTGTGTGATTGATTGGTGGTTGCCATTAACAACAAAAATAGCAACACAGCGTGATATAAAAATATAAAAAAGGAAATCAATGAAAACATCCTGTCACAGATTTATAAAGTATTATTGGAAGATCGATGTTTCCACTAAAATATCCAAAATATGTCACTGTACCCTTCCCCAGTGGGGCAATTCAGCCAGCCTCCATGACTGCCTATTGGAAACATGCTGATGTGGATTAGCTAAGGACCTGGGCAACAAAATGCATTTTCTCTTTTCATTCTTTTTCTCCCCACTAGAGGCCAGCAACAATGCACACAGGGAATAGGAAGTTACTCAAGCACCAGCACTGTCAGCAAGTCTAACTCTTTAGAGAAGAAAACTTCTCCCCAGTTACAATATATGAATTATTGAAGAGTCAGATCCCCTTCATTCGCCCCTAAATATTATAAGTAGCTGATGGACTTCCTTGCTAAGTGTGTCATTTTAGCTGAATATAAAGAGACTTCAAAAGAGAAAAAAAGACATTTATGTAAGAGTATGTTATTCCTATATTGCTGTGTGAGAAACTACTCCAAAAACATTTGTCTGCTCTGATGGAGCACACCTGGTTGCCTTTTCACTCCATGTGATGTTTACCGGCACCGTGTGTCATCTGGAAGCTCAAATGGGCCAGAAATTCCCAAGTGGCCTCTCAGGTGGCTGGCAGCTGCGACTGGCTGTCATCTGGGAGCTCAACAAGGATTTCTCACCTGAGTACTAGGTTCTCATTCGCTGATATCTGTCAGTGGTTTCAGCATCTCACAGTATGGTGGTTCAGTCCCAAGAGGCAACATCCTAATAATGAACATTGCAAAAAGAAGGAAGCCAAAGTTTCCAGTTCCAGCATTCCTTACAGTGGTCAAAGTCTGCCCTAATTCTAGGGGAGTAGAATAAACTTCATCTCTTGATGTGAGAAGCAGTCTGTGTATAAAGGGAAGGAGGAAATTGTTGGGGACCATGCCTGGATTCTCCAAGGGAGTCCCCATGGAGGACTGAAAAAACACTACTTCTGGCTCACCTTTGAAAAGATACTTATGTATCATGAGAGATGCAGAAGAGTATCTCTTCATGAAATGAGTAAGAATTGCTCCTTACTGTGACCCTTTAGGATTAAGATGCACAGAAGTCATTCCTCTCTTTTCTTCCCTAGTTCAGTTGCCTAAAGCAGTGGAAAAATGGCCAGAGGATCAGTGTCTGATGAGGAAATGATGGAGCTCCAAGAGGCTTTTGCCAAAGTTGGTGAGTAGACCTTCCTGGGTACCCCAAGTTGCCAACTTCACTTTCCATGAGGGTAGCACCCAGCATTCCTGTTCAGGGCAACTTCAGTGGAACCGTAACATGAGTCCAATAGGATAAAGATGGGAATCCAGTGGTGTTGGCTAGAGGACCTGAAGAACCTATGCTTGGAAAGATGCACTTCAAAGACAAGGACTTCTTTGTCTATAGACACCTGCTGAGAGACTCCTTCTCACCTGTAGCGTGTTCCTAAAAATGACCCCTAAGTTTCATACTTTATGTCTTTCTTTGCCTTATTTGGTTGCTTTTGTTTTAATACTATTACATATCTTCTCTGACTCTTTATCACCACATCTGTAATATAGTTAGGAATTTCTACCAAAGTTTTTTCAGATTCAGTTGCCAGAACCTTTGCTTGGAAATTCTGTCTTCTGTTGTGAATGCTGGGAGTAATGCTGATGCCTGTCTCCTGCAGCAACAGGCCTTTTTGAAATGTTGACTCTTTCCTGAGGTTGTGTCATGACCTCTGAATGTCCTCCCCTGTCCTCACACCTCCTCTTGAATGCCCCCTTGAATAGTCTGGAAGCTTCAGGGTATATTTTGCATTACAGATACTGATGGCAGTGGATACATAAGCTGCAATGAGCTGAATGATTTATTCAAGGCTGCTTGTTTGCCTCTGCCTGGCTACAGAGTAAGAGAAATTACAGAAAACCTGATGGCCACGGGTGATCTGGACCAAGATGGGAAAATCAGCTTTGATGAGTTTATCAAGGTGAGTGCAACACAGAATACCAGGAGATGCATTTCGAAGACATCCAGACATTCCTTCCTACTCTTCTTGCTTCAGTATTCCATAATCCTTCCCTTTGTGAGTGTTCTTGATCCTTGCTTTGGTTTCTAAAATTTCCCTGTATTTTGGCAGCTGTTCCATGGCCTAAAAAGCACAGAGGTTGCCAAGACATTTAGAAAAGCAATCAATAAAAAAGAAGGGATTTGTGCAATTGGTGGTACTTCAGAGCAGTCCAGCGTCGGCACCCAGCATTCCTATTCAGGTAAGCTGTGTTGGTGGGTGGGGATCGAGGGTGGAGAAGGTCCTGAGATGACCAGAGAGCTCCGTTGGGATGAAGAGATGGAAAAGTGTAGAAAAGAACCATGCCTTCATGACCCGCATTCTGACCTTGGCATTCAGACCTAAAGCTGCACACAATGACTGGGGCTAACGCTCCTTCACAGACTCCTACCTGTTTTCCTGTGTATTACTGGGCTGGTTCCAGAAACCTGATCCAACAGCAGTCCTTTCTCCGTGGAGGGTCTGGTACTAGATAATCTTACCAGCTCTTAGAAAACAAAGGCTGACTACATTCCTTTGTAAATCTTGCGGATGGAAATAGCTACTCAAGTTCCTTTCTTCAGATTTCATGATTGTTTCTAACACCTGCCAAGTGATCAGAAAGTTGTATTTTCATCCTTCTGGAAAAATGTTGTATATTTACTCCAAATCTATCAATGTTAATGGAAAGTTCTACTAGTTCAGACGTCTGTGGTGGCTTGTTCAGAGTTTGGCTTTTTATTTGTGAGTGCAGGAATTTGCAGAGCCTTGCTCTGTCAGAAGTACCTTGTGGATCTGCACAGTGGTGGTGCACTGTGCAGAATGACACAAACTGGGATCGCTCAGGATTCCTGCGAGCGATGCTCATTTTCAGTGAACCACAATTTGAGAAAAGATGCTGGATTATAAGACACAACTTGAGATTGTATTAAAATTTCTAAGACCAACTCAGGACAATTTTCCTGATAGGAAAGAAATATGGTGCCACAAATTATTCAGTTCCATTGCAACTTGATTGAAATTCTATAAAGAAGTTTAGAGATGCTCGGAGCATTATCCATGGTCATCCAATATTTAAATCATCAGGGCTACAACCAGAGCTCTGAGTTTTGGCTTGTAAGCATTAAACCTCATGTATACATAGAATATATCTTTATTCTAGATATAAAACTGGATATTTGCTTCTAAAAATAGTCTGTCTATATATATACATATTTTATATAGTTGTTTGGCTCTAAGTCTGCATAGTTTATGTCCCAGAATGAACACAGATCTGTATCTGTTTCCAAAGTAGTCTGAGATATTTTTAAAAGCCAATGAACAGCAGACAATAGAGAACAGACTGAATAACCTTGAAACATTTCTCTTGGGTATAAGAATCTGAGCTCACTGTGGATAGTTGCGTTTATTTCAAACCTTCACTTTGCCAATGATCATTTGCCCACAGAGGAAGAAAAGTATGCCTTTGTCAACTGGATAAACAAAGCCCTGGAAAATGATCCTGACTGCCAGCATGTCATCCCCATGAACCCAAACACCAATGATCTCTTCAATGCTGTCGGGGATGGCATCGTCCTTTGGTACGGAACACTCCCTTCTTGGTTTCCTGTTGTATGGAGCAGCAGCACTGATGTGTTTATCCTGGGCCAACTTCCTCTGCTGCTCAGCTGCATCTGGGATTTATCTTGCTTGGACCAAGAACTCAGAATGATTTCTCATTCCATTTATATGGAGAAATATAAAAGTGCTATAGCTTGGGTGGAGAGAAGGCATGCACAGTACTTGTTTATATAAACAGCAGTAAAGATGAAAGTAATACAAGGTCAAAAACAATGATTTGAGGGCCACCTGCTGTTTTGCTGCATTTGAGCAGGGCCTATTCTGAGAGCAGATAAGCTGGGAGGGGAAACTGACACAAAACCAGCACAGCCTTTGGTCCTTCAGCAAAAGGACTGCTGAGTGGCTCACAAATACCCAGATCCCTGTGGAGAGCACATAGGGGAGGCAGGAAGTCTGTCTGCTCAGCAGGCCTCTGAATGCAGTGCTGCTCACGGCAGGATAGTGTGCCTGATGAAGGCCCTTGGAGCTTCCCCACCACTGTGGGCCATGGTGATTGGGAGGTGGCAGTGAGCAAGACATCATTTCTCACTCCTGCGGTCTAATCAGAGAAATACTATTTTCAATGTTTTACTTATTTAACTTCATCATGCAATTTCATGTTTAAATTCAACTGGTAAAAAATAAAGTTAAATAATAAAATAAAATAAGGTCAAGTTCTGATCTGTCAGGCCCCAGTCTTCCATCTAGTTTTGCCTGCCAAGACCATGTGACTCCCAGGCCCCCAGTCAGAGTTGGCATGAATGGCTGAGGCACTGGTGAACCTGCTTGCTCCCCGCAACTCCAGTCTGCTTGTAACTGTGGCTTGTTTGCCTTCCATTTCCTTTTGAAGAATGCCCTTCCCCATCCTCCCGCCCTTTTGCATTTACCATGGAGCTTTCTGGCCAACCTATACCCTAGCATCTCTCCCCCTTCACTGGCATTTTATGAAGATATTTCTTACTCTCTATTTATTTGAAAGACAAATGACAGAGATAGGGAGAACTGAAGAGATCTTCCACCTGCTGATCATCCCCCAAAATGGCACCACCAGTCAGTTCTGGGTCAGGCCAGAGCCAATAGCCAAAAACTCAATGCTCATCTACATGGGTGGCAGGGACCCAAGCCCCTGGGCCATCTTCTTCAACCTTCCCAGGTGCCTTAACAGGGAGCTGGACTGGAAGGAGAGCAGCTGAGACAAAAATCAGTGCTCATATGAGATGCCAGCATTTCAGGCAGACGCTTAACCCAACATGCCAAAACATCAGCTTCTGTGCTGACTTTAGAAGGAAATATTGCTTGCAATAGTTTGTGAATTATTGTGTTTGTTTAGAACTGTTAGATAAATTCATAGCTACACATTTCATCTCTGTAATTAGACTAGGCTTTTTGAGTCAGGGATATTAAGCCATCCATTTCTGCACATCTCCCAGAGCTAATAGTTTTTCCATAATTTCATTTTTTTCAACTAATAATTCATGAGTTTTGCTAAATTTCAATAAAGTGTGTTTTACTTAAATATGTGAATGAATACATATACATACACAAAAGTTATGAAACTGTATCTTTAAAGAGCAACCATAAAAGGATAATTGGTTAGTAATTGTTAGGAAAAAATGTTAATGCTGTTTTTCACTTAAAAATAAGTACTCACAATTAGGAGGGTTCTTTGATTTTGTTGTGCTTTTTAGATATTTTTATCAATTTATTTTCTTAAAACAGCATGGTGGTAAACTAAGGAAATTCTTTTTGTGTTCCAGTAAATATTGAAATGATAGTAATTTGAATAATACCAGTTCTTCTTTTAAAAATCACACTTGCTCTGGCTGTATGATCAATGTATCCTTTATTTAAATAAGATGGTGATGACCTAAGAAAATTTATCTTTTGTGCCCCAATTGAAGGCTAAAACAATACTAACTTGGATAAGATCTATTTAAAAAAAATCATTGCTTGTTCTGGGTGGCTGATCAATATGTTAGATGTTTAGTGGGGAAAACTGATAAAATTATAGCTGTAGAAGGATAAAAAATTATGTGATTATTAAAGCCATTAAGTCTGGTCAAGCTTTAAAAGAAATGTAGTCATTATAAGACCAGAATGTAGTCTTTTACTTCAGTGTTACAATTTTCATGGCTAGGAAAGTGAAAGTACCTCTTTAGGAAATTTGCTTTCATGTGCTAAGGAAATCAGGAACATTTGCAGCTCCTTAGGTAGCTGAATGAAGTAGAGTCGTCATTTCTTACCACAGGTCTGGGTTCAGGACATCGACCTCTCCCACAGAAAGTTTGGAATCTGGTCAAAATTGTGTAGCTGACTTTCCATCTAGGCTTGGGGTAACACAGATAAGGTTGCTGTGATGTTCAACAATGAATGCTGAAATTTGAATTTGTTGGTATTCTGTTACTCAACGATCTGCTTTCTCTTCATTGTTTCTCTTTCAGTAAAATGATCAACCTGTCAGTGCCAGACACAATTGATGAACGAACCATCAACAAAAAGAAGCTCACGCCTTTCACCATCCAGGTATATCTCCCTGAGTAACCTTAATGCAGGATCTGCTTGGTATGGATGAGCACTGGACCTGCAGTTGGCCTTTTTCAGGTGCCCAAGCCTTATTCCGCAAACCTAGGCTTTTGGCTGGTGAATTTTTGTACCTATTAGGGGCACAAGGAAATATCCCTGCCTTGTCTTTTATTAAGGGAGTAGGTGTTAGAAGGAAATTTGGGGAGATTTTCATAGTTCAGGGAAGCTAAAGTGATGGGCCTTTCTAAGAAATGAAGGGGACGTGAAACCCGGGAAGTGCTCTGGCAGCCTTCACAGCAAGATTGGCTGCAACCATGAGTATAAGAAACGCAGCTTGACTCTAATTCCCTCAATTTGTTGATTAATTGGAGTGGTAGCCAACACTCAGTAAGCTGTTTCTGTTTTTATTCTAATATCTAACATAATTGTGACTCTGTTCCTCAGAGTTATATCTCATTTCTGAAAATATGAATGATATATTGTATTTGGATTGCAACAAACCTGTGTACCTCAAAATGCAAGTAGTGATAAAGTTGAGAGCAGTGATGAAACACATATGAATGCATTTAATGTTAAGTTTAGTTGCAATGTTGGCCGTCCATAGAAATTTTCATTCATCGTCTGAGTGCTAGGCCAAGAAGACAGTTTGCTTACCAACTGATTGGTGGCTTTTGTTTGTAATCTTCCATAAAAACATTTTCTACACTATTCTGACATTGATGTCTTCTCCTAAAGATCCAAAAATAGTGTATAAGCCATAGATTGAAAATCTTATAAATTGTATTCCAGCTGTGTATGAGTTACATCACATACATTGTTGTTAATAACGAGGTCATAAAATCTGTGTATGTGGGGGGGAGAGGGGTTGTGAACTCAGGTTCGCAGTATGTTTTTGTTGCTCAATGAGTTTCCCAGTAAAAATTACTTCTTTTCCAGGAGCTGATTTGTATCTTTTCATTTTGTTAATACTCAATTGCAAATCAAAAACCTATTCTGTTAATCTTTTTTATGGTTTTAATTTACTTCATCAGTTGTCCTACCAATGATGACCAGTGACAAAACAATAACTGTCCTCAAGGGAGCCTGTATTTCTGGATAATGGAGATGCTAAGGGTGTTAATTTCATCAATCACAAGATGGAAAAAGACTCAGCTTCATGCTGACTGCAATGTGCCTCCCACTCTGGGTGATGGTGTAACTGAAAAGGTGTCTGCGTAAGCTCAGTGTCTGGACTCTGGGGTTTTCTCCTTTAGTTATGATTTACTGCTTTGCATCGTGCTGAATCTAAGGAGAATCATGTCTGTAGATCTTTATAAACTTTCCAGAAGGAAAATGTGGCTGAGTTTGCCAATCAGTAATAACCCCTTGGTATCTATAAAGTCAAAGAACAAAACCCACATGCTTTTTCTCTCATAGGAAAACTTGAACCTGGCTCTGAATTCTGCATCAGCCATTGGGTGCCATGTGGTTAACATTGGAGCTGAGGACCTGAAGGAGGGAAAGCCTTATCTCGTCCTTGGACTTCTGTGGCAAGTCATCAAAATTGGGTTGTTTGCTGACATTGAACTCAGCAGAAATGAAGGTAAGAGCAAAGTCTCAGACATTGATAATGGCCTGGCTTTCCAGTAATGCATGCACTGGGACTCAGGATGGAAGATGTCAGGAATTTACTAGTTTTGAAACTATGGTTTTATTGAGTCCATAGTACTAACTTAATAGATTCTATCCACATTGACCGGTCATTTATAAATGACAGACCAAAGGCTTTTTAAGACCACAGACTAATCATAATGTTTGTTAAAGGCATATAGCTTCATCTGTCTGGGACTCTAACCTCAGGAGCTTTTTACAAAGCTCATTTTGCTTCAAATAGTTCATAACAAATATGCTACTTGTAGCCTACAGTTTGTAAAGTGTATCCCATTTAGTGTGCTACAAATACCAGATTGAGATAAATTCTGTGTCTTACCAACATTATACAGCAAGATGTAGGTTAATGGATATAAAACCAAGGTTATACATGAAGAGTGATTCCAGAGAGCTAATGTGCAACATGAAGATTATATTTAGTAATAGTGTATTGTATATGAGTGACTTGCCAAGAAGTAGATTTTAGGTACTATTACATGAGAGAAGGAAAGAAGGAAGAAAGGAAGAATGTAAGGAAGGAATCAAGGAGGGAAAAACGAAGAGTAGGAGGGAAGGAAATAGTAAAAACAGAAAACTGAGTTGATAGGTATGCTACTTTGCTTCACTTACGTAGTGACCTCACTGTATGCATATCAGATAAAAACATTAAATTAGATATATTAAATATATGCAATAAAAGAAACACAGTAAAAAATATATTTAATGGGTTTTAAAGTTCTTAATAGGCTCTTGCCAGTCTTACTCCATTATCTCTCACCATTCCATCTGTACTTAAACAGTAACAACCCAACTGCTTTGACTGAGATCGTATCACACAAAACACACTATTATCCTTTACTTTGTAGGTACAAATCCTACCGATAGGAAATTTTATCAGAGATTAATCTTCAGATATACAAATTTATTTTTATTGATAAATTCAAGCCACAATGACCAGTAATGAACCCTGAGGCAACACCTTAAAGTCAATGTCTTCAACATAATATAAAGAAAGGGGGAAAGAAAACAGATATTTTAGTGTATGTGCTGCCGAAGTGAGCACAGAAAGCAGATATTTTAAAACTCATGAGAAAGAATATTGATTTGCAAATAACAACCTCAACTAAATTTAAACTTTCTGACTGAGCAAAATCACCTTTGTGCATTGGAGAAAACATAGAGGAGAGTTGATTACATTGTTGAGTTGCTCTAATTTTGCAGATAAGCATCTGAAATATAAAACACCTAAGGGAATAGACAAGAGAACATTGTCATTATTTCAGAATTGATCTCTTAAAAGCCAGAGTGTTGTCATGTCATGCAGTGTGGTGTGACGGACCTTGTACAGCATTCTGAACCAATAATCTTGGCTCTTTTGGGGACTGTGCCCTGATGTTCTTATGCAGAACATTGCATTTTCTTGGTGCCTTGTACATTCCAGCTATTACACGGGGATGGTAAATAAATTCACAACAGCACAGATTTGTTTTTAGGAAATGGTAATGAGGTGTTTGTTGCGTAGGAAAAGATATAAGAACTCTTACTCAAGAGATATTGGGCTGCTAGAGCCTTCTAATAGAGCTCAGTGAAAATCATGAAAATTCCCCTGGCCCCTGTATTTTTCTTTCTTCATGTTTTTTTTTCTTTCCCTTTCTTCTTTACTTCCTCAGCTCTGATTGCTCTTTTGAGAGAAGGGGAGAGCCTAGAGGATTTGATGAAACTGTCCCCTGAAGACCTTCTGTTGAGATGGGCTAACTACCACCTGGAGAATGCAGGCTGCAACAAAATCAGCAACTTCAGCACAGACATCAAGGTAGGCAATGATCTCTGACCGGGACTGGATGCAGCGCTGAGCAGGGATTGGCCATTCGTGGAGACAAGACAAAGATAGCAAGGCTGTTCTCAGCAGCTGCAGGGCTGGCTGATCGGGGTGCTGCCCTGGAGCCCCTTGCTGTCCTTCCAAGGCCCTCTGCGGCTCTATGATCTGTTCAAAGTCTGAGAACAGCATCAAATGGGATGGGTCTCCCGTGAAGTTTCAATATCTGGTGGTGTAGAGAGAGTGAACAAGATATCGGTCTCCTTTTGTCCGGTTTTATAAATGGAGGCATTTATAAAAGAGGATTTAGAGGATGACTTCTGATAACACTAATGATAGGAAAGCTGGTGCCTGTTATCGGCTAGGTATGTTTGACATGTATGTTGGCTCATTTAATCCTCACAATAGCCCTTTCAGGTAAGGATTCATGTTCTCTCATTGTACAATTAAGGGAGCTGAGGTGGAGAGATCCGCAAGGGGAAAGGCTAAAGGAAGCCAACACTGTGCAGTCCAATGTATGGAAAGCCCGATATCAAGGCGTAAGGAATGAACTTTGGGCATTGAGGGCAGATGGGCAGAGATAGAACAATGAGAATGTGAAAAAGCAGCTCCTTGCAGGAAATAGTGTGAGCTGCTAGGGTGCAATTTGAGGCCTCCATTGTTTAAAAATCAAAGAAATGTCCTCTCAAGAGAAACAGTAAGAGGAGAGGTCATATGACTCACCAAACACCCACCCAGGCTTGTAAATCTTGGAGGAGCAGCTTCATGCTGTCAGTGGCATGGAGAATTCAGGGTCTGCCAGGTGCAGTACGGGTTAGACCAAAGCTTCTAGATGGAAAAATTCCACATTCCTTAGACTCTAAGCCAAATACATCTCTCATTGGTTCTTAACATCCTTCTAGTACTACCAACTGAACTGGGGCTTAACAAGAACTGGCTGTCATCCCCCTCTGGCACCCAGCAGTGAGGCTCTGGACTTTTCTGCCCCATATTAGGCTACTTGTTCTCAGCCCTAAATCTGCATGTTTTCCAACACTAAGTTGCTGTGTTCTTTGGAATCATAGTAACTTTGTACTTTAGGTATAATTGTGTCAGACACTGAGTTTCTTGCAAAGCTGAGAGCTCTTAGACAGTGGCTGTGCCTGCTCTCAGAAACCGGTGCATCCTCCTAAGCTCACTGCTGGAACGGGGGTACCTGAGCAGCCTGTCCCTTAGCAGGCATCGTCACATCACATGATGTCAGCAAAGGTGAGAAGAACACCATCTGGAGTAAGTGAGAAAGGTTTAGAAGGGTCAAGAAGGGGGAGATAACCCCTAGCAAAGCTAAAAATATGTATATAATACATGGTAGGCAGATTCTGCTGGTGCCTGACAGCTGTATAGAACTTTGAGCAACTTCAAAAGAGCTGCAGGGGACACAAGGGAGATGGGACTCGATTACTCCAGCTGCAGCCTCTGTGACTGACATTCTCTTGTTTTCATGATTCTATGGTGAAAACTGGTGTATATTTTTCTGCTCTACCCAGGCCCTGCCTCATTTTAAAAGAAGACACCTGAATTTTCAGTCTTTAAGAAAAATTAAGCCAATTTTAATAGCTTTAAATAAAGTACATTAAAACCAAGATGTTTCTGTTAATGGCTAAAAAACTGCATTTTCAAGAATATGATTCTGTGAATTCTTTTCATCTATAAGCATATTTCCAAAATAGAGCTTGAGAATTCTGCTTCCTTGTCCAATGTGCCATTTGTTAATACAACCATTTTTGCTAGCTCCTAGATAAACACAAAATGACTTATCGTCTTAATATTTCTCCTTTGACAAAACTGCTTGATGATGCTTCTATTGTCTATCTTTAAGATCTTTTTCTTTTGCTGATTGCCCATTTAAATGTGTTTGTAAACTCTGCTTTAAACTTTTGTTTCCTTTTTCTGCCACTTTTTAAAATTGAACCTTAGCTGACTGACTTCTACAGCAATTTAAATGTCTATATAAATTTTTCTGTATATAATCTAATGCCTGTAAATAAATTGGCTTTTTATCTTCTCCTAAGGACAGCAGAGCAATATCTGCTTCTATTGGTTGTTTTGTGTGTGTGTGCCCTGTGTTCTTGCTTGTTATACTTCCTTTAAAAAGAAAAGGGCATTATAATATGCAGACAAATACTATATTCAAATGAATGAATGTTTCTAGCTTTGCTAATGAAGTGACCTTCTTGAAATGTTTACTTTTGGGAAATTGTCATTCTAAGAATGTAATGAGCAGTGCTGTTTTTGAAGTTGTTATTGCTTCATTTCTCACAGGACTCAAAAGCTTACTACCACCTGCTGGAGCAGGTGGCACCAAAAGGAGATGAAGAGGGTATTCCTGCTGTGGTTATTGACATGTCGGGACTGAGGGTAAGATTCTGCCTTTGGTTGCGGTAAGAGAACAGAATGCTGCCCTCCTATTGGCAGTTCCACTGCTCAGTGCATGCTCTACCCCGCTCCCTGCTGATGGAGTCCTGTGAGTGTGCACTTCTGCTTACGGTTGCATTAAATTTGTTAAACAGTTGACTGCTAATAATTGTGCAAAACTAAATAGTAAAGAACGGGAAAATTCCGTGTCACACTCCAGGCTAGGCGCTTCTGTACGTACCCATCATTTAGTTTTTCCAATCCTCAAGTGGGGCTGAATCTTTAGCACTGCCATCACACGCTCTTGAGAACTTGCCTTGCCTATGTTGGCAAGGCATTTAATATCATTAGAGATAAATCCAGTTTGTTAATACTGAAGTCGACTCTACGAAAGAGGAGTTTAGCCTGAAATATATAACATTATCTTGAGCAATATCTTGAGAAAGAATTCTAGTTTAAAATCCCATTTTCTGAATGTTAATGGTCTCCTGGGCTGTAAGGACAGTGGGTCTTAGTTCAACAGTTTTTTCTAGTTATGAGTTGATGTACAAATGACTGGACATTCCCTAGAATTTCTTGAGCACATGAAGTAGGTGATTCAATATGAAGCTATTGAGGAAAAAAATTGTCATATAGTTAACAATGACAATATCTTGATTGCCTGAGGAAATTTGTTTTAGTTTAGTTTGAAAGTATACCAACTCAGTGTGGGAAAAGTGCTTATGCTAACCCAGATTTTCCTTTATGAATAGGAAGTATGTATATAGCTTATTACTTTATCAGTGAACATTTTTGTGGATAAAAGTCTTATGACATCTGCGCAAGAAAATGATTTTTAAAAGGGAATATTGTGGTGGAGAACAATTAAGATCTGGTTAAATGGTGAGATTGTGAAAACTACTGCACTGATTTGAAACCAAGCAACCAACCACTTCATGTTCTATTGGAGAGAAACGAGCAATCTCCATCCCTTAAGGCCTGAGATTCCTGTTACCTATGGCTTTCTGGCTTCTAAGCAGTTGCACATAGATAATAATGCATATGAGATAAATGTGGGTTTCACAGAGGTTCTGGTGTCTTCTTTGCCATCTGTCTACCTCCTTTGAGTCTGCAGTGCCAGGACCCAGCCTTGCCATGTGCTCTCTCGTTGCAGGAGAAGGATGACATCCAGAGGGCAGAGTGCATGCTGCAGCAAGCAGAGAGGCTGGGCTGCCGGCAGTTTGTCACAGCCACAGATGTTGTGCGAGGGAACCCCAAGTTGAACTTGGCTTTCATTGCCAACCTCTTTAACAGATACCCTGCCTTGCACAAACCAGAGAACCAGGACATCGACTGGGGAGCTCTGGAAGGTCAGTAGTCAGTTGCTTGAGATGTTTGAAAAAGCATTCAGGATTCTAATTCAATGGCAATTCAAAAGTCACCTCCTAAGAAAATACAGAACATTCCCATGCACAAACAGGCCATCAATAATCTGGTATGCAACAAAGAGAATAAATGCATTAATCAAGTCAATTACAGCCAAGCAGAATACCATTATAACATGCCTATTGTATATAGGCTTCATCCATTATCAGCACTAAATGTTTTACAGAAGACAATGCATTTAATTATTGGGTTAAATAAGCCAAGAGTTCCAAAAACCCAATTTATGTACTTAATGGACTGTGTTAATTCCTAGAGGCAAGAAATTACTGTCATTAACCACCTAAAAATAATATGGAACTTATGGTAAAAGTTCTTACTGAGTTTCTTGTAGAATGTTTCTTTGATTGGATTGTGAGAAGTACAGACAAGTATTTTGAAGCAGATCTTTAAGAGTTGTATTTGGTGAGATAATACTCCAAAATGAGACAAAAGCTTTATTTGAGTTCTATCTGGTGAAAGGGCCAGAGGTATTTACTTTTCTTTCTTTTGAATTTTTCATTATGGACTAGTCTCAGTATTGAGACAAAAAAAGAAACCACACAATATTGAATGAATGCCACTGAAACAAGGGAATCCAGATAAAGACTCAGTTGATACTTTTCCACAGGGCTTTATCCTAGCTGGGAATACAGCATCAATTCGTGTCCAATGCAGTGGCATTTCTATCATTTGATAGTCAAGGTTAGGAATCTGTGTATTTTGTTGATTCCAAAGTCTATATATCATTCCCACTAATCACCTACTTAAAAAAAAAGATTTATTTATTTATTTATTTACAAAGTCAGATATACAGAGAGGAGAGACAGAGAGGAAGATCTTCCGTCCAATGAGTCACTCCCCAAGTGACCGCAACGGCTGATCCGAAGCTGGGAACCAGGAACCTCTTCCAGGTCTCCCATGCGCCCTAGGCTTTGGGCCATCCTTGACTGCTTTCCCAGCCATAAGCAGGGAGCTGGATGGGAAGTGGAGCTGCTGGGATTAGAACTGGTGCCCTTATGAGATCCCAGCATGTTCAAGGCGAGGACTTTAGCCGCTTGGCCACTGCGCTGGGCCCAATCACCACACTGGGCCCAATCACCTACTTCTAGCTACCTCTGGGTCATCACTGATGGGCTGTTTCTCTGCCTTTTGAAATGCAGCATATACAAAACAGGATTAATGATCAGTCCCTGCCCCTGTGGCCTTTCCACACCTCAATCCTGTCTGTTCTATTTCCATTACTCTCACCATTTGTTTTTTTTAGTCTCCAAAACTGAAAATCTTGGGTTCTATGGTGGTATCTTCTCCTTCACCCCTAAATCTATCCAGTCAGCAAATGCTAATATTTTTTTCCTTTATAGTGGATTCTAGGTTGAGATTTTTCTCTTCTGTTCTTCTGGACTCTTATTACCTCATCTTCCAATTATGGTAATTGGTCTTAGGAACATATTCCTCCATTGATCAAACACTTGAATGTGCCAACATATTAGTGCCAAATGTTATCCTTCATGTGTTTAATTTAAATGCATATTGCCTTTCAGTAATTCTGTGTACTGCTGCCAACCACATCCTGGTACTGCTTCTATTATATATCTGTCTTGCTCAAGAATTTATAACAGTCATAAACAGAAAGGACCCATACTGACTGCCACTGTCTAATACATCAGTGGAAACCTGCCATCTGGCATTCAGAGACCTCTGCTCTTGGCTCTATCTGCTAAACAGCCTTACATCTGGGACCTGTACAATACAGATTCTGAACAAAACAGTTCCCGGTGTTCTTAACCTGTTAAGTCTCATGTTTTCAATTCTGCAGTCATTTCAACAATGTGGTATTTATTCGCAGTTACTGTAAGTGATGGATTTATTGCTCAATTTAAGTTTTTGATGGATGCCCTCTGTATAGGATGGTGAGACCTAATGGGTTAATGATGATTTTGCCCATCTCTCCCTATGGGCTCATATTCATGCTATTTCCTACTCTAACCCCTCACATCCTTCCATGTCTTTTGCTCTTTCCTTCTTTGACTAGTCCTAGAAGGTGAGGCTGTAATTCCTCACCTTCCAAATTATTCCCATGATATATATACTTGTCTCAAATTAAATACCAACTATATCTGCTGCATGGACATGATCTCTAATGTCTCAAGCTTTTGTCTTTGCAGAAAAGAAGTAAATATAAGCATTCAATGCCCAACTTTTAACAGTTACCCCCAAACAGGGTACTGTGCACTACTAACAGATGCTAAAAAATGTTAGTTGGATTGAAATGGGGGAAAATCACCAACTCACAGCAGACTTCATCCTAATTCCACAGTATTTGGTTTTTCATTTGGTTTTCATTCTGCTGTTTGACTTTTATTATAGTCCCATGAGTTGAGGTTTGGTCATGAAAAGGCATGTTTTCTAGGGGCTTAAAAGATAACAAGTCTTCCTTTATCTAGGTGAGACAAGGGAAGAGAGAACCTTTAGGAACTGGATGAACTCCTTGGGTGTTAATCCTCGGGTCAATCATTTGTACAGGTAAGAATATGTGGGAACTCACGCAAGATGAGCTGTGTAGGATTTGGTGTGCATTCCATTCACAGTGTATATGTAACATTGCAGAGAAGGGGAAGGTGCCTAATTGAGCTCAGGGTTGGGCTCCGTGCACCATCCTTCCTTGTGTGGGACTAATACAAAACTTGTGCTTCAGCAAAATGATGATGTGCTATCACCAGCTTCTGATCCTCTCATGAGCAGGCAAGACAGTAAATTTTAACTTTGCTGTTCAGCATCTCCTGTGCTGATTGTCAAAGCCGTGTTTCTCTTCCTGAAAGCTACATTGTTGGATGAAATGGTGTGAGGAGTGATAGCAGGAGGGAAGGGAGGAAGAAGATTCCTCAATTTCTCTGAGTTAAGGTTTCTGCACTCCAGAGATAGAGATAGTCCTGCGAATTCTATAGAATTCTTGTGAATGTTCCTGAAGCCTATATATATAAGGAAGCGCCTGGCGCACTGTAGATCCTGAGTAAATGTTGGAGATCTGAGAATTCCTTTGTGTTTGTTTTGTTCAGTGACTTGTCAGATGCCCTGGTCATCTTCCAGCTCTATGAAAAGATTAAAGTCCCTGTTGACTGGAATAGAGTAAACAAACCACCGTACCCCAAGCTGGGAGGCAATATGAAGAAGGTAAACAGTGACTATTCTGATGTTCCCATCAGCCAACAAGAGCCCTCTGCGAATACCTTATCAGGTGGTTAAACTTGGATACGTAATGTTTATCCAAGGATTAATTTATAGCAGAGTAGTCAGAACCTGATAAGTTTTATTAAAGGGAGTCCATTATTTCAGTTGATTACTTATTTATCATTCCAGGTTGGAGATCTTTAAACATTATCATCTAAAAATTCTAGTGAACATAATTAGAGCAAACAAACCCTCGGGGTCTGTTTTTTCTCTCTCTCAGCGGGATCCTTATTCTAATTTTCTAAAGAATTGGAGCTTTGTACTGACAACTTGACTTGTACAGATGGTTTGTCTACTATCAACACAGTGGGAACATTGTTTTGTAACAACAGACTCGGCACAACCATTTCTCGCAATTTTGTGTCTCTGTGACTGTTGATGATCCATGGCATAGTCACAGGAGTATCTGCCTTACTTATCCACCCACCATTTGTGTGCATTGGATGGGATCTCTAAATTTTCTGTGTGACTCTCCAGAAATTTAGCTATTTTAGAAATAGTACAGACAAGTACTTGTGGGGGACTCTCTGTGTTGTCTGATATAGCCACAAAAAATATTTGCACTAATGAATTCGTTTTTATTTTTGCAGTTTTGAGTGTACCATGAATATTTTTGGTAGCAGCGAGAACGTCTATTTAAGGAAAGATAGAAATTTCATTAACCAGTATAGACTCTTAAGACTGCATGGTCATTTAAAACGTATTCACTTTATTTTCTGTGTTTTTATAAATTTATCTGATAGTGTCCGTAAGCGAAATGGTAAGGCTAAGTTGTTTGCTTTCCTGTTCATTAACAGCTTGAGAATTGTAATTATGCAGTGGAACTGGGGAAGAATCAAGCAAAGTTCTCCCTGGTGGGCATTGCTGGACAAGATCTCAATGAAGGAAACCGTACTCTGACGTTGGCCTTGATCTGGCAACTAATGAGAAGGTAGAGTAACTCATGGAATGACTTTAAAAATTACTGCTTTCCTAGAAGTACACTTGCACATGTTTAAGAGTGTGGTTTTATCCATGAAAGTACGTTTTCTATAAGAACTTGATAAACAAAGAAGTGCTTTTTATTTTGCTACTCTTTGTTTTTCTTCAGTTCAATGAGTTTGTGTTTTAGGTATTCTTAAAATGTTATTATCAGGATCATAAACATTGTAGATTATTGTTTAATCTTAATCTTAATTAATCATACCTTGATCCTAATGGAGTGACTCTTTTTATGCCTGATGATATTTTTTTCTCTGAAACCTATTTTATTTTTATTTTTATGCTTTTTTTTTTTTAAATTCAAGAAGCAGGAAGAAAAAGAGACAGACAAAGAGAACTCCCATCCACTGAGTCACTCCTCAGATTCCCATGATAGCCAGGATTGGGACAGTCTGCAGCCAAGAGCCAGGAGCTCACTCCCACCGGGTGTCAGGGACCCAAATACTGGAGACGTCATGTGCTGCCCTCCTTGGTCTGCACTGAAAGGGAGCTGGAATCGGGAGCTGGAGCCTGGAATCCAACCCAGGCACTGCAGGATGGAATGCCAGCATCTTACCTGGTGTCCTAACCGCTAGGCCACGAGCCCACCCCTGAAGTGTGCTTTATCTAGTGTTAATATGACCACTTCTTTAATTAGTGGGTAGCATGGTGTATGTTTTGTACCCTTTTACAGATTTATGTAATTCACAGCCTACTGCCTGTCAAGGGTTTTCAAACATGAGAAGATTGGGCTGTATTCACTTACATAGATATCTGGTGTGCATCTTTCCATTTGTAGATACAAATTGCATTGAGTGTCATTTTTCTTCTACCAGAAGTAACTCTAATAGTGCAGCTCTGCTGGCAATGAACTGCTGCATCTTCTCTATGTCAGGAAAAGTTATTTCTTTTTCATTTTGAAAGATGAGTTTGTAGTTGATGCCTTTTTCCTTCATTAATTTAAAGACAGGTTTTGGTTTTATGGCCTGTATTATTTCCTACAAAAAAAATCCATTGTCATTTTTATCTCTGATCCTCTGTATCTGTGTTTTTATTTTTCTCTCTGCTTTTAAAATTTCTTCTTCTTGTGGGCTTTGAACTGTTTGACTGTGATTCTGTTGTGTCTTTTCTGTTTGAGGATTGCTGAGATTACTGAGTGTGTATATTTATTCTTTCCACCAAATTTTAAAATCTTTGGGGTTTTATTTCTTCAAATATACATTCTCTACCTGCCCACACCTGTTTGGGGTGACTCTGAGTGCATATATTATGTTATCACAAGTTGATTCTCCATGTAACTCATGGCCCGTCCACTTAGTTCTTCTAAATGTCATTGTTTCCTTTTGGGTAATTTGTATTGTTTATATTGTGTGTCTTCTAGTTCAGCAAACTCTCTCTTGTCCTTTTTTTAAATATAATTTTTAATACTTCATTAACTTTAAACAGAGCATATATTTTTATCTCAACAATTCTGGTTTCTTTTTCTAAAAGCATTGCTTTTCTCATGACTCTCCTATCTCTTTTTTCCTCTCAAATTCTTGAGTAAACAGAGTTGTAATTACTGTTATTTCTGAGTCAGTTTCTTTTAATTTATTTTTATAAATTGTGAGTGTAAATTTTTATATTGTGAGTCATACTTTCCGGCTGCTTTGCATGCAACCAGATGCTATGAATGTTTTCTTGCTGCCTGGTACTATGAATTTTACCTTACTGAGTGTTGGACATTTCTTTATTCCTTGAAATAGTCTTGAATTTGTTTAAATACAGCTTGCTCCTCTGGAGGCGTGTGCTACATTTAATTAGACCTTGGTTGGTCTCTGCCTGCTGGGATCATACTCTCCTGAATAATGTACTTGTGACTCTGTGGGTCATGAATATTTTCTGCACCAACTGGTGGCAGCTGAACAATTTTGAGTTCTGGTCTCCCACATGGCTCTACCTTCTGTTGCTGGAAACTATTTCTCTAGCTTCTAGTACTTTCCTAGCATGCATTCCCTGAGCACCACTCAGCTAAGACTGGGAGGGAAACACTGCGAAATGACTCTGGAGCTTTCCTTTTAGATGATTCCTTTCTCCCCACACAGCTCACCCCTTTCTAACATTCTACCCCACAAACTTTAGATCTAACCCTTCAAGCTCTAGGGCCATGGCTATGCTGTTTGGGCTTCCTCTCCCTGCCCAACAACCTGGAAACACTCCCCACACTGGAACAATGCTTAGGCTCATCTTGCTTTTCTCCCTTCTTTCATTGGCCGCTATCCTGTGTATAGTTCTTGTTATCTAGTGTCTGTGAAAAAATGTTTCAAATATTTGTCATTGTATTTTGGTATTTCAATCTGGTCCCCATTACTCCAGAAATAGAAGTAAAGTCTGAACTTTATGTTCTCTCTGTTACAGTTCATCTCTATCAAAGCTTTAAAATAGAGTTATTATTTAGTACAGACTTTTTGATAACTTTTGGGATTGCATATAAATTTATTTAAGAACCACGTGGTGATGTTAGTTAATTAATACGATGTAATGTGATATATGAGAAAATATGTTGTGAGATCAATAAAGAACTTTTGGTAAAGAAACATGAACCTGGTAAGATTTTAAAGAACAAATCTGCAAGAGTGACACAGTTCACTTGTAAATGCTTTTCTCGTTTCCCTATGCTGATGTCTCTGGCCAGACAGAAATCTCACATCTCTCTCAGTTCATTAGTGTAACTGAATTTACCTTTATACCTGGAAGAACGCCTTCAGAAGCCACTTATCACATTTTATTCTGTCTAATGAGGTTATGGCAAAGACGAGGCTTGCAGGGTCCTTAAGCAGTTTAGCTGTATTCCCAGGCCACTGTATACAGATGCTAGTATTTATTCATAATTGGTTCTCAATGTAATGATGCCAGTGCTTCCAGATAAGACACGATAATCAGCAGTGATCATAATAGATTCTGCTGCCTGATTCCCACTCACATTAACAAGCACAGAACATCCTGACTCACTTCTAAAGCAGGTTCTCCTTAATGCTGGGGGCAGATGTTCTAGAATTTCTCTGGTATAGAGCTCTCCAGCATGAAGGCAGCACTAGCTCTATCGTCTGTTTGACTGCATGTCTCTGAAGCACCACTGGTTGCTACTAACACCCATTCTCACCAGGGTATTTCCAGAAATGTTGTCTAAACTGTTCTTTATTGTCTTTCACATATGGATTTATTTCTTAACAAACTGACGTTTGGTACTGCTTTACTATAAAAAAAACAAGCATTCCTGTTAGTTGTAGAGTTGCATTCATTCAAGGATTACAACACAAAATAACCTCTGCTATATTCTATTTAATGATTAAAAAGAAGCTCAAACCAATTCTATTTAGCTTTAAGTTTCATAATATCTGGACATCACCTTGATGATTTTTTGTTTTGAAAGTTTTATAAAAATGTGGCCCAAAGCCCTACTTTGAAGCTGGTATGGATGTGATAAGTTCTAGTCAGTTATTGCTACCTTCATCTGATTAATAGGCCATATTTCTCAGGAGTGTTTACTACACAAGAATTCCCAGAGTAAGAATGTAGTCAGAGACCAATTTCATTACTAGAGAAGAAATGACTAGTAATTATGTAAATGAAAGCAGAAGGAATGAAAGGATTATTTTTCTCTCTCCCATGTGCCATGTATTAGCATGCCTATTAACTTCACAGCCAGTTCAAACTAGAATGTTTCATTGGCTGGCACAGGATGTATTCAACTGACCATTTACTCAGAGAATTAATGGCATGTCACTTCCTTCCAGGAGCAAATGAGAGCTGGGAGTTAACACCATCTTCCCCCGTCAGTAAGCCTGGGAAGCATTCTCAGGTTGGAGAACTGTGTGTCTAGGAGGGGCAAAAGTCTGTGGAAAACGTACATTGCTGTCTAATTCCATCTTCCCACACACTTTTTGAAATGCCTTCATGCATTTGGGACATAAGCAAGCTGCTTGCAAATGAAAATCAGGGTCAGACCCAAGCAGGGGAGTTGAGTCTGAGGCAGGCGAGCGACTAGACTCACCCTGCATCAAACAGGCTGTTGGTGGTGAAGGGCAGGAGCGGGCCTTGTCAATTCTATGCCAAATGTGAGAGTAATAAGACATGTTGGAAGGCAGGGAAGGAAGCAGTCTCCATCCGCTTGGTCACTCATCATGAGGACTGGCTGGCACTGGGGCTCCTGCTGCTGTTTCGTTTTGAACAATGGGCTTTTAAATACAGCACATCTCACAAATACTGGTGATCCTGAGATCTTGTCAGGGGGCTCTATTTATTAGCAATATAGCCCCCAAACAAGTTTGCTGATATACCATGATTATCTTACAAGGAAAAAAATGAGATCAACACAGTCAAGACTTGTTTTTGTTTTAAATATTGAATATATGTTCAGCCAAGAAATTGCTTGGTGCACTGCCTAGGGTTGTAGCTTGACCCTAATTCCCTCATTGTTCCACTTGTTTTCAATGGAACTTACAAGAGGATATCCTGTTCTTCTGTATACCTCTGCATATTCTTTGGGGTTCACCTGGCAGTTCCATGCTGAGGGGCTGTTCTAAGTCCACAGTTCAGCAGACTACCTTTCAATTGTCTGCACCTCCTTCTACAAGGAGCCCTGGTCCATGGAGATTGTGTTATTTTTATGGATGGCTTATGGCATAAAGGTGGACTTTACTCTGTACCACTGAAAGCCTGAGCTCAAGTGACTTCATGTCCTTCAGTCTCAACAAAGTGGAGAATTCCAGTATGGGGTGATGACCACTGAAGCCCAAGGTCATGAAAAATGCCGGCAACTAAGCTAAATTCCATCAGATTACAGACAGAGGACCTGATAGAGCAAGAACTGACCTACTATGTCTATGAGAAAACAGAAAATCATAAATGGGATGATCAGTAGGCTCAATGCCTATATTAGTAGGGAGCAAGAAGCCAGCTACCCATAAGTCATAATCTCTGAGAACAGTTCAAGGAGAGAATCTTTTCCAAACTAGGAATATTTTGAAAATTGATCTGGGATTTATCTCATTTAAGCTTATTGTTTCTTAGCATTCTGGCCTCATCTCTGCACCAATATTAAGCATTCTTATCTTTACTATCTTTTTGCTTTCCCCTGGAGAAAGGTGCTCTATTTCTCCCATCACCTTGTACTTTTATTACTGGTGCCCAGTGGGCACCAAGTCTTCTGCTGACTCCTGACACCCCAATATGAACAGAGCCCATGGAGCCCTTTCCAAAGGGACACTGTGGCCAAAAAAAAAAAAAAAAAAAAAAATCCAGCAAAAGTTCTGGGAAACAGGCCTGGGGCAGGTATGATAACAATAGAGCATGTGGGTTGTCAAAGTGATCCTTGAGCTGGGAATTTTTTGGAGGGTTAGAAATTCACTAGAGAGGTCAAGCATCCTAAGCAGAGAGCATGGCTGAGACTTAGAAGCAGGAGGCTGCCTGATGGGTCTGTGTGGTGGGGCCACCCATGTGTATGCCTCTGTGTGTTGTGTGTGGAGGCAAGTGAGGCATGAAGTGCCAAGGAAGAGAGAAGGGGAGAAGGAAATAAGAGAATCACTGGGGAAAATAATAGTTAAATTGTGAAGGGCTTTGTATGCTACACTGGACTTCTTTGGACCACAGAGAGTCATGGGAAATGACATGACCAGACGTGAACGTTAGGAGGGAGTTCTGTGAAGAGAAGTGAAAAGAAGGGCCTGCTGATGAGAGATTTGGGGAAGAACCATCGAGAACATGTTATTGTCAGTTTGGTAAATGTCATTTGGTGGGGGTAGACACACTCTCTCTTTATCTCTCTCTCTCACTCACACACACACACACACACACATACACACACAGGGTGGAGGGACAGAAGGAGAGAGAGAAAGAGAATGAAGATAGAATGAGAATCTTTCATCCTATGATTCACAGCCCAAATGGTCCCATCAGCCAGTACCAGGCCAGACTGAAGCCAGAAGCCAGGATCACCATCATGATCTCCCCCATGGGTGGTAGGGGTCCACATACCCAGGCCACCATCTTCTGACTTCCCAGGAGCATTAGCAGGGAGCTGCATTGGAAGCTAAACAGCCAGAACTCAACTGGTACTCAGATCTAGGATGCCAGTGTTGCAAACCTAATCCATTGCACCACAGGTCTATCCCTGAAAAAATGTGATTTTTTTAAAAAATAAAGTTGCAGAAACCATTTCTTCCCTTCCTACAGTGATAAAAAGGTGCCTTCATCTTGAGGAAGGAAGTACATCATTCTTACTGCAGGCATTTGACTTGGAAATGACATAGAAAATGTTGGGAGATGGGATGGGAAAAAGATGCATACTCCATAGGTTATGTAAGCAAACCCCTGGGGCACCCATCGGGAGGGTGACCTCATTCAGGTCAGCCCTACTAGGGGAGATGTAATCTCAGGACTCTTAAGTTTCAATTTGAGAAGCACACCCTGTAATCTTAGCCCCAAAGGTCCTGTGTGTGTGTCACTTGACCCCCACCTGCAAACCTGATCGGGAGGTCACCAAGTCTGAGCATTGTTCCACTCCTTGGCTTGCTCTCCTTTCCGACAGAGGAATCTTTAAGGAATGGTGAGTCTTCTCTGCCTCAGGACTTGAAGCATGTCAATAAATGCACCTCTCCCCAGCAAAAGCCAACCATTCTCCCAACAGTCTACATCCGTGGGGAGCCTTAACCCGTGGCTAGAGATCACCCTTGGTCAGGGTCTTCCTACCATTTCTATGTGTATGGTGTAAGAAAGGTCTTCTGTACTTCACTGTGTAGGCTACTGGGACTTTTCTAACATGGAGTGGTCAATGGCTGTGATCCATTCTTTCCTCTTCCTTTCTCTTTCTGCCTAAGCCATGACGTTAGAAGCAGGTGTTTATGGCACAGTGGGTTAAGCCACTGCTTGTAACACAGGCATCCCATGTGAGCACCAGTCTGAGTCCTGTCTGCTCTGCTTTGCATCCAGCTTCCTGTTAATACACTTTGGAAGGCACATGAGTGACCTGGATGGGAAATGAACCAACAAATGGAAGACCTCTCCTTCTCTCTGTATAACATTGCCTTTTAAATAAATAAATATTTTTTAAGGAAAAAAACAGCAGGTATTTGGTTTGCATTTCACTGTAACATCTATACATTTATGTTTGGTTTTAAAAATTCTTAACATTAGATATCTTCTTTTTTTAAAAAAGATGTGTTTAGTTGTTCAATATGCCTTTCCCCCTCCAATATAACAGCGTCCAGACTATCTATATGTATATGAAATATCTTCAAAGAAAAATTCTACCCCCATCCCACGCTATTTTCTGCCTCATCGAATTCTTTGGCAACTTTTCTCCAGAAGTTATTTTTTGATTTTGCTCAGGTACACGTTGAACATCCTCGAAGAAATTGGTGGTGGGCAGAAGGTCAACGATGACATTATTGTCAATTGGGTGAATGAAACGTTGAAGGAAGCAGAGAAGAGCTCATCCATCTCTAGTTTCAAGGTAAATGCCCCAGTCTCCTGCAACAGCACCGAGTTCTGATGACATATGAAAGTGACCTTCAGTGCCAGGTGTTTGAAGCTCCCCCTCCCATTTGGATTCTGTTTAAATGCCCCATTATTGCTTTGATGTTCATCAGCCATCTCACTGACAAATTTCTCATCACTGTCTCCCATCACAATGCTAAGCACCTATCACTTTTTTATGTATCATGTTAGGCATTGTGCCTTAAAAGTAACATAAAATGTAGTCTTTGTAATAAGTTCACAGCTTCCTGATTCAGATTATCATTTTAATGGTGAAACGTAACATTAAAAGAGCTCGTATGTGACTTAAAAAAAAATCAATTATGTGCTTATATGCAAAGTTCATTTTTATTAATAACAGCATTGTATTGTATTAAATTTATTAAATTTCTTATCTCATGTTTCAAAGATTAGCTGGATTCTCCCCCAGGAGAACCGTGTATTTGATCCTTATTATACTAATGTCTGTGCTGCCATCATCACATTTTTCTAGCTTAAAGATCAGGAGGAGGGACCCCTTGGGAGGTGTATTCATGGGACTGATGGGGACAGTTAGACATGATATCAATTCTCTGCTTTAAAATCAAGGGAAAAAAATGAAACCCTCTCCCTACGAGGAAGATAGGTCTGGGTGGGGCTGTGTTAGAACTCTACCATGATTGTTGTAAGTACTTTAGGGTAACAGTGACCTCTCTTCACCTCTCTGTAAGCAGCTCACTGTTCAGGCCACACAGTGGAGTGCAGGCTGATGACCAAAGTGAGCAAATGCTTGCTGTCATTGGGGAGGTAGCAAGACAGACAGAAACAGGGGGACAAGGAACTCATTGGTTCACTCCCCAAATGTCCACTGTGACTCTGACTAAACAAGGCCAGATCCAGGAGCCCAGAATTCAACCTGGGTCCCCTGCGTGGTAACAGGACCCCAACCACTCGAGACCCCCACTGCTGCCCTGCTTCCTCCCAGGATATACATTAGAGGGAAGCTGGAATTGGGAACTAGAGCTAGGACTTAAAGCACGCTAGTATGGAACGTGGACATATTTTTAAAGATTTATTTATGATTGGAAAGGAAGATTTACAGAGAGAAAAAGAGACAGAAAGACTGTCTATCTGCTGGCTCACTTCACAAATGGCTAAAACAGCCAGAGCTGAGCCCATTTGAAACCTGGAGCCTGGAGCCTTTTCCATATCTCCCATGTGGGTGCAGGGTCCTAGGGTCTTGGGTCATCCTCTGCTGCTTTCCCAGTCTACAAGCAGGGCACTGGATGGGACATGGAGCAGCTGGGATTCCAATGCAGCCATATGGGATGCCAGCGTTTATAACCAATTGAGCCATCTTGCCAGCCTCAAACATGGGTGTTTTAACTAATGTGCCAAATGACTGTGTACAGCACCCAGCCTTGATTCACCATTTCAGAAATCCTGCTGGTTCTAACCTTATCTACTTTTTGCTGCCATTTGCTGTCCATTTCTCAGCCTGCCAGCACTACAAAACTGTGCACTGGGAGCAGCAATGAAGTGGAATTTGAATCCTTGTGATTCTTTACCAATAAGTTCTGGGGCAATAGAAGCCTTGTTACTCTCCTGATTTTAATATTATGATCATTCTTGCATTACCTGGGAGTAAGTAAACATGGATCTACAACGCTTTTAAAACCATTATTCTATCTCTACAGGAAGATGGGAGCTAGCATCTGGTAGGGGTCCCGGGTCCTGTTTCTTGCTTGGAATTTACTCTGATTTGGACCCTTAGCATGAGGCTCTTGAACCTCACTGGATGTGGTGGCGACTCATGGGCACACAGAGGTGTGCAGACTGTGGCCTCCACTGAAGTGCCAGGGGAGAGATGCACAGATGATGCAGAATCTCTGCATTCATATCATGCGAGCATGCACACCCTTGCTGCAAATACCAGAGTGGTTCTATGTATCCAAGAAGGAGCCCAGGATGTTAAGTCAGAGGTTCAACTTGAACTCTATTTTTTTTATCAGCAAGGTCACTTACCTTCAGTACCTCCTGTTTTCATCTGTAAATTCAGATTAGAGGTGAGTGCTGCATTGTCACCACGATGCTGTGGACAGGCATTGTGGTACAACTGGCTGAACTGTCACTTGGATTTTCCTTTCAGAGTGCCCAGGATCAAATATCACCACCAGGTCACTTCTTACTAGTATGTATTCTAGGAAGTAGCAGATCATGGTCCATGGTTCCTGCCACTCGGGGAGGAGACCAGGATGGAGTTCCTGGATCCTGAATGCAGTCTGGCCCATGGTTAGCTGTTGTAGCCATTTGGGGAGTGAACCAGCAGATAAAAGATCTCTGAATGGATTTCTCTCTTCTCTCTGTTCCTCTCTATCACTCCCCCACTCCTTTCCCTCCCTCTCTGAGCATTGAAATAAACAAATAAATGAAATGATAACTACATTATGTAATTAAGTGAACATAATCATCCTACAATGTATATAGACTTTAAAACATGTTATACATAATATAAAAACTCATGACTATACTTTCATCTATAATTTTAAAATAAGTAAGTTTAAAAAAAAAGTTTGGGCCAAGAAAAAAAATGTGATGCCTCCATTTGGGGCTCATGGTAACAATCAAGTAAGAAGTTAGGAGACAGGGCTGACCAAACCATGAGGATCCATGTGGCATCTAATTGCAGGGCACAAAGAGAGGGGCACTCCTGCCTAGCCACCTGCACCCTCATCGCTATTCCTGCCACTCACCTCTGGGATAGCCCGAAAGGAGGCAGGATTTACCTAATATCTTCAGTCCTTTTTTGTTAAGTCTTCTCCCAGCTCTCCTATGGTACTGCATTACTGTGAGTTTAAGAGACAGTATTCTATTTCTGTCTGGATGTTTTCCTCTAGCTGTGCTAACTTCTTCCTTTCATTGATTGAGAATGGCTCCCAGCTGTGGGCAGGCAGTGAGTCTTCTGTAACCTTGCTGACACCCAAGAGAAACCATGCTTGACTTGAAATGTTGTATGAAGCACTCACTGACCAGGCTCTCTGCGGTCTATACTGAAGAGAACAGAACTGCTCTCTTTGAAGTCACTTTGTAATGTGCTGATACTACCTGCCATTTCCTTCCATATAGGACCCGAAGATTAGCACAAGTCTCCCTGTGCTGGATCTCATCGATGCCATTCAGCCAGGTTCCATTAACTATGACCTTCTGAAGACAGAAAACCTGGACGATGAAGAGAAGCTCAACAATGCAAAGTATGTGCCTGAACCTGAGACTGGGACAGGGGAAGGATGTGATTGTGCAATGGGGCATAGTTTCAAAGACTGTTGTCCATGTCTTAGTGAAAAATACCTTGCAACATGGATGCTTTTTCATTTCCAGACTTATTCTTCCTTTAGACATGGCACAGCGGCAGCTTAGGGCTCTCAGTGGTGGAGTGTCACAGATATCCATTGGCTGCTCAGGAGTGAGGTTCAACATGGGGTCTTTACCAACTCGAGAGCAGATGGCATCGGGTTCTGTAAGAACGCCAGCAGGCCACAGTCTCCGAGCCAGATCAGGCCTGATGCAGCTTTTGTAAATAAAGTTTTATTGTCATGCTGTGAGTGAACGCATACAGCATGTAGTGTCTGTAGCTGCTTCTCTGCTGCAACGGCAGAGTTGGGTAGTTGCATTGCAGCTGTTTCCCATTGCAAATGCTAGCCAGATAATGAATGAGTTGAGTAACAGAGCAGCCAGGTAGTAGTGAAAGCTCATTTAAAAATATATTACAATGAATAAAATGATCTTCATATAACTCTAAATAGAGCAGAAATGTTCTGATTCAGTTATGGTAATTTTGTGTGGAAAAAACATGCAATGTAAAACTCTAGTTGTTCTAATATTGTAATGCCATAAATACATACAAAACAAGAAAGGAGAAAGGAATACAAGAATTGATGCAGAAGATTGAGATATTATAGATGCATTGGTCTTCTTTCATAAAAATGTTTCTGTAGTTGAAATATAGTCTGCAGACTTCCTAGCACAACTTTTTATTCAGTTTTGTGACTTTGTTCTGCCATGAACTATAAACTGAACATCTACTCTTGGTGTGGGTATCGAAAGTATCAGGAGCTGGGGGCCGGCATGATGGTTTAACTAGCTAATCCTCTGCCTAGCACTGGCCTCCCATGGCGGCACGGTTCATGTCGCAACTGCTCCACTTGCTTGGGAAAGCAGTGGAGGATGGCCCAAGTCCTTGAGACCCTGCATTCCTACAGCCAAAGAAGCTCCTGGCTTTGGTTCAGCTCAGTTCTGCCCCTTGTGGCCATTGGAGGAGTGTACCAGCAGGTGGAAAAACTGTCTTTCCTTTTCTTTGTAAATTTGTCTTCCCAATAAAAATAAACAAATCATTTTTTTAAAGCCTTAAAAAACAAAAAGAAAAATCAGGAGCTGGATTAATACTATAACAAAACCTCACAACGTGTGCAGAAAATGGATTTAAATGACAAGTCTATTTTGGTGTCCCAAATTTGAAATCCTTGCATAGATTTTTCATAATATGAATTTCCACGGTCTTTTGAAGCATGTTCCCGGGAGCTTTGTGGAGCCCACATGTGTCCACAGGAGTGGGAGGAGCTGGTGCGTGGTGCCAGGAAGGACTGGCCGGTGGTCCTGAGGATGCCCTCACCTTCCCTGCTTTCTCCCTCTTAGGTATGCCATTTCCATGGCCCGAAAAATTGGAGCAAGAGTGTATGCCCTTCCAGAAGACCTGGTGGAAGTGAACCCCAAAATGGTCATGACAGTGTTTGCTTGTCTCATGGGGAAAGGCATGAAAAGAGTATAAAGCCCCAGCAAGCCGAGGCAAGAAGCATCGCACTCAATCCTACCAACCCTGCTCCGGGGGTGCCTGGGCAGGACAAGACCACGCCTACCACTCTGCCATTGTCAAAATGATGATATTACATTACAGTCCAAAAGAGTGCATCTTGGTTCACATAATATGTTGCCTCACCTTTATTTAACAGAAAGTGTTGACCCAATCTCCCCCATATATATATATATTTTTTTTAATTCTTGATTTAATTTGCTTTTTTGAAAATCTAAGATAAAACAGAAGTTTCCAGGCAGTCTTTCTAGCTTCTTGCTCTTAGTTGCTGATAGAAGCCTCAGTGTTGTTAATTTTGGTAGACACTTTAAAGCCAGTTTAATGTAGCTGCCTTTCCCTGGTTCAAGATGAAAACTTAGGAGTGGAAGCCATCAGACCTGTCCTGACACCTGCTGGTAGAGGCCAACACCTGAGTTGTTGGAAGCTTCTCCTTTCCTAGCTCCCAGTGGCTGTGCTCCACACCCCAGATATCCACATCTACTCTCTTCTGGCCAGATTACTTTCTGAGGACTAGGACCAAGTGACAAATTGGATGGGGTCTTGGGTCCTAATAATCTTTCATAGCCTGCAGAGGTAAACTAAAGAACTAAAGTCTCATGATTCTGAAGAGTTCTTTTTATCCCAGCCAAAAAGAAGGCAATTTTTAACTCTAGAATCTGGACCCAGGCTAAATCCAACATCTCAGGTAGCATCTCAACTCCTGGTGCAAGGCGGGCTCCTGGAAGCTGTAATAGAGCACTGGACCACGAGGGGGCAGCATGGGGCCATACCTAAGCCTCTATCTTTCAGGGTGCTGCCTCTCGGTGGTTTCCTGCCATGTTAGATCTAGTTATTGCGATGTGACTATTTGAAAGCAATCCTGCTGAACTCTCATTTGCTCTTACATCTCAGCGTATCTGACTGCTGCCAGGCCATATTATCCTTGTTCACTTTGTTGGTTACTATGAAAGCTCTTTTTTTTTTTTGGCGACCCTTGAGCCCCCCCCCCCGGGGGGCAATATGTGCCAATAAATAGCCCCTTCCCCCGCCCCCCATGTGCACACAGGCACATGTAAGTACTAGTACTTATATGCACACACACATAGCCACATGGCAAGGGGAGAATGAATACACGCCGGATAAGAACTGGCTGTGTTGCCTTAGAGAGAGCTGATGCACTGAAAGTTTAAATTATTCTAAAGTAAACCCGACAGAACAGGATACATGTGAGCACATGCAGACCAAGCTAAAGCTACAAAGAGCTTTGTGAACCAACACTAGACTCCCTGTGTCACTAAGAAAGGGCTCTGCAGTGAGGTGTCTTCTAGGGGTGGGGCGTAATGCAACTCAGCGAGTCTTTTCCAAACATTTGAAAAACGTTGCCCTGGATCTTTTCCTGGGCCATAGGCTCAGTCCTTAACTGGTATTCCAGCTGTATTTCTAAGTGCACAGTGGTTGGCTTTGACTTTGGTCTGAACTTTTTGTAGCCTCAGGAATTATTCCCGCCATTTGCATCCAAAAAGAAAGAATGTCACTGCCTTAATGATAGATAAAGACAAAATAATGCTCAAATTCTTTCAAATAAAATATTCCCTATAGTGATTGTCTCTGGCTGTTGCCTTTTGAATGTTTAGCCACCATGTACTCTTCACAGCCACTCGTTCATTCACATGCATTGAGGGCCTAGGACGAGGAAGACTTCAGAAAGCTTGTGGCACGAAACGCATATTATTTCAAAAGTGCCCTGCCCCGACATAACCTCACCTTCTAGCCTCCTTTCCCGTGAACTCCGAAGTCTCCTCGCAGGTGCTGCACACTGCTGATTTGAGTAACTCGTCTGTATATGAGACAGTCATTTTGCCCTGCTGGTCGGGAAAGTCAAGATGTTTAACAATTAAAATGAGAGGTGTGATAAGTAATGAAGAGGGGTAGGGTGAAACGGGGTTTATGACTGGAAATTAGTGGTCTGAAGAGAAATGGTTGAGCTGGTGCAGCCAGGGGGAACTGGGATTGAGGGTGTGAGTCTCCCGGAAGCACGCAGAGCCCGGACAGCAGTGCAGGACCACCTCTCGGGGAGCTCCGGTGGTCTGGGAATGCGCATGGGCGCTTCAGTCTGACCCAGGGAAGGGCGCAATGACTACCGCCCCGCTCACTGAGCAAGGATTTTAAGAGCTTCTAGTCTAGCAAAGGTGTGGAACGTTAGAAGGTAAAACGTAGATCCTCTCCAATTTCCTCAGATTGTTTTACAAAAGAACCCCTGCTGGGACAGAGGTTCTGTGGATCCCAGCTTCTCCATTTTAAGTCTAATGCAGCTGTTAATCCAGATAGCGTGCATGCATGCGTGCACACACAAAACACAATCAAAAGCAGAACGTGATACCACGTTGTCATAAGCTTGCAAATGAAGCATTATGGGAGCTCATGGGACAAATTAACGCCAAATGATCAGCAGAAGTTTGCAGAAGAGCTCAGCTCTGACAAACGAAAAGCAGACAGAAACAGCATCTTACATATGTTGAGCTCCCATACAGAGCAAAGCACAACTCTGGATTTGTAATATGAAATCGAGCTCTTTATGGTAAATGTTTTATTTAGTCAGATGAATGTTTCCTCACTGGGATTTGTATTCATCATAAACAAATGCTTCCTGGGCAGAGAGAAGTCATTGTGAGCAACATTGTGAAATGGACTTAAACCTGGAGTATTTTTGTACTGGAAGGGTTCCTTCTGTCTGAAGTGCTGATATTTGGCTCTTGTGTGTTGCAATGCATTGCATTAGATGACTGCTTCAAATCTCAGCTAACCTTGTGATTTTATCCACTTAGACATGTGTATGTCCCTCATATGTCCATGGAAGCACATATGTAATCCCCAGGTAATTAGAGTTTGTTCTCTTGGCCCTCCTTAACCAGCCCATCTCAGGCTGATGTTTAATACACAAGGGACAGCTGTGTGTGAGAGATGATTCTCCAGCCAGTCGTTTATAGTCACTGTCCATGTTGACTGGCCTTTGTCAATCCCAGTGCACCCAAAATCTTGGAGTAAATACCAGTGAATGCCAGCAGGGCTGTCTTGGTGAACTTGGCATTGCTTTGCCCAGCCTGTCCCTGCCACCTCACTATCCAGAAGGCAGAGCTGAAGTTCACTACAGGCAAGCAGTATTAGTGGGTCCTCTTGTGAAATCCAGTGATTGGAAATTTCCTAATAAAGTTCCTGGAATCAAATTCTCACCTGCCAAAAATGACTCAATCTACTCTTTCTGAGTTCACCAACTAAGTCTCTCAATGAGTAGTTAAAAGAGAAATGTGAAAATGATTTCTCACAGTTCAAGCCCACATATAATCAGTAATCCACCTTCTATGAGGCACAAAGGCAGATAATCTTGCCAATACCCACCACTTCCCATTAATAGCTTGACACCAGTAAGCACAGTGCAGTGATATTTTGTGATCTGGCATGTCAAAATTGGGGCATTCCATTTTAACCAATATTTTGCTTTGAAGAAAGCTACCATATGCCATTTGAGGCATAGAAACCTTTAGAGAATTAGAATGCAAGCACATATTTAATTCAAATACTCTATGGAATCTTCCATAAGTTTTGAATAATTCGTCAGGCATTTCTGTTGCATCATGGGTCTACTACTATGTATGAGCCCCCAAATTTTCAAATCTTCTTGCTCTAAGTGCTCGGACCAGAAGCACGTGGTGGAAAAGGTTCAGAAATCCACTCTCACCCCTACACCAAGCCACTACTTCCAAGTCAACAGATCTGGTTTAATAAGATCCTCAGCCTATTCATGCTGAGGTTGGCATGTTTGTCCAACACAATTACAGGTTGCTGGCTTACTCTCCAAGGTGGTATGTCAATGGAATTTGGAGATGGGCTTCCAGGGGAGGTAACTGGGTCATGAGGGCTATTCTCTCATGAGCAATCAAATCCATTCTGTGATTGACAGATGAATGGAAAACTGGAACAGTAATTTTGTCTCATACTCAGACTAGTTACTCAAATCAGCAGTGTCCACTACTCCCACTGGAGAGCAGAAGAGCTGGGATTTGGGGCAGGCCAGTCCAGGCAGGACTACAACACCTGTTAGCTGATACATGAGCTGGGTTGGGGGAAAGCCAGGCTGGGATGACTGTATCTACTGCTTCATGCATAAGCCAGAGTGGGAGAAGGTTGATTGAGGGTTGGTTGAGGTTTGGTTGGGCTTTGCTGCAGCATCAGTGGCAGATGCTGGCACTGGGGGCAAACTCTCAAGCTAAACTGCAGAACCACCTGGACAGCGCAAGAGCCAGGAGTGGGAGTGGGTCCATTAGGGTTTGCCACTCTAACTGTTGAGCAAGAGAATCAGGACTGGGGGTGGGCAGGCCATATAGAGATTGACACCTGACAATACCAGTATAGGCTGGATATTGGGGTTGGTTGGGTTAACTAGGTTTCAATGCCCATTGACATGCATGACAGCTGAATGGGATGTGGGACAGACTGGACCAGTATGCTGTACATACTGGCAAGCATGGGAACCAGAACAGGGAGTGGGCCTGGTGGGGGGTTATTATGGATCATTCCAACTAAGCTGCAGCTCCTGTTGATTTACGTGAAGGCCAAGTGTGTGGTGGGCAGGATTGAGCTGGGCTCCAACACCCGTTGGTTTGCTTAGGCAATAGGTCTGGAGAAAGGCCTGACGCAGCAATTATAAACATGTGTGCACTTCGGCTGATTTGGGTGGTGGACTGTGCTGGATCTTGTATTGGCAAGCACACACAAACATCCGGTATGGGATCCCCTCAGATTAGGCTTCTTCAGGGATCCCCCCCAACTGAACCACTGGACTCAGAACTCCAACCACGGAGAGAATTGCAGTTTCTATGGTCTGACTGTGGAATGCTGATGTCAGAGCTAGGCCTCAGTGGCTTAGACAGAGCAGTGGACAACGTAACCAGACGCACATGGAGGATGTGGTGGAACATTGGAGTGTGCAGAGGTCACCTGGTGCCATAACAGAGGATGGAGGACAGAACAAATTGATCAACTACCCCAGCCAAATGCTGATTAGTGAATATCTGGGCAAAGGGAGACTCTAAGGTGAACTATGTCAGCCAGTGGATTCTGGAGAGATTTCATTGTGCTTGGAGTGGCTAGATTGACAGTAATTCAGAACTGAACTATCAAAACCACTTGAGGAGGACCTTTGGAGCATGCCCACATCGGGGACCTGGGATGGCATTGGGTGGCCATCGTCCCCCATCCCAGGGTATGGAGGCAGTTGGGAAGCTGGATGTGGCTTCTCCCCTTGTCTCCTCCTTCCCCTACATAAAGAAAGAAAAAAAAAAAGAAAGTGTGGAAACAATGGTTTCACTCACTTTTCTCTAGCCCTTGACCCTTCCCACCCCCAATCAACTATGTAAAAATCATCAAAAGTAGAATTTTAAAAAGAGACCAGGTTCCCTGGTGAGGTATTTCGACGCCTGATGGCATGTGAAGTTAATGATCTGAAGGTATGTCACATGGAAAGCAACTCTTGGCAGCATGGCAACATCAAGAACTGCTCTTCTCTGCAAGCCAGTCTTGGAGTTGTCCATCCAGCACAGGACACAGCTTCCCTGGCTTCAGAACTGATGCCTTGGGGGCAGCCAGCGTGGTCCACATCAGACAGTCTCAACACTCAGGGGAGCCTGCCATGACACCACTCAATCAGGCATGTAGGATTCAATTGTGTCTACTTCTGATCCAGATAGCACTTACCCAAAAGAGGTGATTTATATTATAAGTAATGTGTTGTTGGAATATAGTTGACATTTCATTTTTATTGACTTCTCAGAGAAACTGAGAAAGATATGTGAAGGTCAAATTCTCTTGCCAAAAGGGATTCTGTCCCCACCCCCCAAGGACATATCCTGCATGCCTTGTTTTGTCTACTTCAGCTATTCTAGACAAACGGTAGTGTGCTGAATTCTTCCCCCATGTTTTTATTTATTTCTCCTTGACATGTCTGCTACGCAAGGTTTATATTTTAATGATATCTTTTTAACTCAAAATTTAAGGACTCCTGTTTATTAATTAAGCCTGTTATGAATCCCAATCTTTTCCCAGCTTAATACTTCTATATTGCTTAATTTTGTTTTGTCTGGCTTTAATAAGGTCATATTTTTACTTCTTTTTCCTTAATAGACTATTTTTACAGCGCTTTCATATTTATAGAAAACATTGATTGGAAAGCAGGGCTCCCACATTCTCCCTCCCTACGCACACACATCATTTATCATATTATTTATATTTTGTTTAAGTGTGTAATAGTCACTGCATACAATAAAAATTAATAAATATTAACTGAAGTCCTTTAATTTACATTTGAGTTTACTTTTTACTGTATATAGGAGCTTCAAAAATTTTTTTAATAAAAATTAAACTATTGAGGGAGGTATTGCAGAGGACTGTGTGTTGAGTATCTTCTAGGAAGCTGGGTTGCCTTCATCCTACATCAGAGAGTCAGGTTGGTGTCCTGGCTATTCCACTTCTGATTAAGCTTCAGACTAAGGCACCTAGGAAGGCAGCCAATGATGACTCAAGCGCTTGGGTCCTGGTACCCAGGTGTTGGCCTGGCTCAGTCTCCATTGATGTGACAGATGAAAGATCATGTTCTCTCTCTGTCTCCCTCCTCCTCTCTCTTTTTCTCTATCTTGCCTTCTGTCACACTGCCTTCTGAATAAATAAATACATAAATAAGTATTGATAAGTAAATATCATTTATTTTGCATCATTACTGCGTATCCCAGTGTAGCTTCACCGCCATAAAAATGCTCTGTGCTCAGCCTGTCCATCCTTCCCTGTCTCCCTCATCCCCTCTTCCAGTACCACAGCCCTCTCAGCCTGGCTGCCTTCACTTGGCACTGTGTGATAAGCCCCTGCATGCCTGGGTGGGCCTTGACAGCTCCTTTCTTTTGATAATGTCACCTTTGCTTTTGTTCCTGTCTTGTTGACATCTCTTTTTACACATATTCTATTTTTACCTTTTGTAGATTATTTTGTTTTAGATGTGTACAGGGTCATGAAATGTATGGAGCAAAACATGATTTGAGAGTTTAGTGGGGAGATTTCTGTTTATTTTTTGCCTTTGCTACATTGCATCTGACTCTTTGCTCTAAGGAACTGAACATTGTGGTGCAGTAGATTAAACTTTTGCCTCTGTTGCTAACATGCTGTGTGAGCATCAGTTCAAGCTACTGGCAGTTGTAGCCATTTGGGGAAATGAACCAGTGGATGATTGTATGTCCCTCTCCTTCTCTTTCTCCCCCTTTCTCCATTTTTCAAATATGAAAAATGAATCTTCTGAAACGTGAAAAAACATCCTGACCTCAAGAACATTGGAATGTGTTTATCAATGTGGCCTTGTACTAGACAAAATGTTACATGATGCTACCTCAAAGTAATGGGTAGATGGCCTTAAATTATAGGATGTTTAATATGGTGACCTTTTCCCAGTGAACACAATTCAGAGTCCCCTTATATCTTTACCACTCAAACAAGCTACCACAACCTTATGCTCCCTCTTGTGTTTGAGCTTACTGTTCCACAAAGTCAAGAACAGTCTTTGTGAATGGAGATTCTGCCATCGTCTGTACAAGCTCTGCTTTATAGTCTTGCATTGGTCACAGATTTGAGAAATTCACCTTCTATGTCTTCATTTAAATTGAAAGTGTTGAGAAAGAAAGGTGCAAAGGGAGACATTTCCGGTACTTCCCTGGAGCCCTCCCTCAACGTGGACTATGTCCTGTCGTTGGTCGTCTATGCCATAGTTCCTCAATGAGCCAGGCAATATCTCGCTACCTTGCTCTCTTTCTATTCTTAGCCTTGTCTTCCCAGAAAAGTAACACTTTCTAGATAGTCTGAAAGAAGAACAATCCTTACTATACTTTATTTAGAAGGGTGCAGTTATCAAAAACCGAGCTACCAAATTTGTACTTTTCCTTTGGGGAGTGGAAATGAAAGTTAAGCTGATTGATCCCAGGAGAAAACATGCAGTTATATTTTAACCAGTGTATAAAGAAGGCTGTCATGCATTCGCCTAACAGGATCTTTCACTTCAGAGACTTTCGTTGTACAGAAAACGATGTTTGGGATGAAGCTTTGTAACGTTGCAGTGTTTGTGGCTGTCATTCTCTTCTGTGAGCAGCATGTCTTCGCATTTCAAAGGTATTTCAATAGAATGTTAGACTGTGATGAGATATTTCCCTCACTTGTTGGCCTCTTGCTGAATCAAGTCTATGCCATAGGCTGGGGAGCAAGCACGAAGTCTGAAGACTGGCTTTGTTTTAGAAGCTTTCCAAGTTGCCATGACAAAGAATGAGATTTCAATACATTGGGGTTATCACTAGATAAAGAACCATTTTTTTTCCCTCATTGTCATTTCTGGGAGAATTGTGGATGGTATACAAATTCAGTGCTATGGACATGAAAGAAATGAAATTGTCTATAAAAGTAATTATTCATGCCCTAGCATACCCTGTAATTTATGGATTTTTTTCTGTCTTTATGTATAAAATATGTCCATGATGCATTGTTTACTTTCCTCTTGTATGTGGAACGCAGGAGGGAGAAGAGATAAAGATGTTACAAGTAGGTTTGGTTGTATGTGGCTATTCACCATGGAACATGAAGAATAACTGTGTTATACAGAATACATGCCTGAACACATCCAATTCTGACTTTCCTTAGAAGAACGATTCCTTTAGGATTTTCTTTTATAAGATACACAGAATACAAATACACGCGTGTTATATAGAATACACGGAGCAAATGTTGGCAGACTAGTCAATTTTAGTCTTTTAATGATTGATGTTTTTCCTTTTTAAAATTTTGCTTTATTTGAAAGTCAGATTTACATTGAGAATGAGAGACAGAGAGAAAGATCTTCCATCTGCTGGCTCACTCTCCAAGTGGCCACAATGGCCGGAACTAAGTCGACGTGAAGCCAGGAACCAGGAGTATCGTTTGGGTCTCTCACGTGGGTGCAGAGTCTCAAGGCTTTGGGCCATCCTCCATTGCCTTCCCAGGCCACATGCAGGGATCTGGATAGGAAATGGAGCATCCAGGATATGAACCAGCACCCATGTGGGATCTCAATGGAGGCAAGGCAAGCACTTCAGCTACCAGGCTACTGCATTGGACCTTGATATCATTTCTTTTGAGATTGTTTTGATTTTTGCCTTTGTTTGTAATCTGTGATCATTTTCTTCTCTGGCTGTCACTGAGATGGAATCCTTTCTCCATGCCAGGGAATGGTAAGTAGAGAAAGAATGCGCAATGAAGCATAGCAGGTTCAGAGCAAATTCTACCAATAAACCTTAAATGAATCATATATAACTATGGGATAAGCTTTCAGAAAATCTGTCTGGACTTGTGAGCCTAAACCTGTGCTTACACAAGGTCACTAACCACAGTTGGTCAACTATTATTATTATTATTATTATTATTAGTGCAATATGATAATCAAGTGTCAAGCAGCAGATTTTGTTTTCAAGTAATAGTCGTTGAAGAATCAATATGGAGGTCAAAGTTACTTTAATAATTGATGGTATGTTTTCACAATAAACCAGGTAACCATGATTTCTAGGTTCTAATATTCTGTAGCTTGATGATTGACTTGCAAGACAGGGAAAGTAAAACATTGTGTTGAACTTGACCACTATTGGAAAAGGCAAGCTTGCTGACACAGATGAGAAAGGAAGGGCCTTAGGATTATTACGCTCTCCTGTGTGTCCCATACACTGGGCTCGGGACTTAGTGATATTATCTCTTTAAATGCTTACAATCCTAAACTCTAGCAATCTTTACCAAGATTTCATGGAGGAAGAAATTAATCTCAGGAAGAGTTAATCATAAGATCAAACAGCAAAAACAGAGTTTGTGTGAAAACTGCTTTAGTTCCATTTCACCTTTCTGCACTGCACAAATCTAAAAATTGGAAAGAGTTGATTTGAGGAGAGGATAAGACAGTTGATGGGAAATATAGGTCCACTTGGGAGGGCCGAGTATGGCTGTGCCCACTGATGGCAGAGTTGGTTTGCTGTAGCCATCTTGATTATACAGAGAATTAAACCTTAACATCTTAATAAGATGTATCAAAAGCATTCCCATACTTCCTCATAATTAGTGCATGCACAACAGTTTAGTTGAGCTAAATGTAATGCAAAAAACAAGAAATAGACAAAATACTAAAGAAATAAATGAAAAACTCCCTCATGCTTGGATTTTTTCCATCTTATTTCCTGCAGCAGCAACAAAAACAAAAATCTGATTCATGGTTATGCTTCCAGAAAGGAATGAGAATATAGCAGTAATTTAACTGCATACTGCTGCGCTGATCATGTTTAGCATTCAGAGCCCTCGATGGCAGCCCCTACTTGAGGGAATATGGCTTTGTTAGCAGACACGTATCTCTCTTCTGTTTTCCATTTCCTCCAGAAATAACACAGCAAACGCTTCTGCCTGTGAGTAGAAATCATTCTGGAACCAAACACTTTCTAGGCGGTACTTCTCCAGGAATGGCCTATTACCTAGCCTACAAGGGAAATCTAACTTCATTCCAAGCGACAGCATTTGATAAATCATTTCTGGGATGGAGAATAGAAACCTTTTGAAAAGAATGAATGGCCTGGCTTTTTCCTAATGCTGTTCTTTGTTATTGTTTTCTTAGCATGATCATTTTCCTAATAACAGCTTGTATTTAGGCAATCTCGTAGGAGCCAATTTGTAGGTGCATTTGAGCAATCCCATCAATAAAAAGCCCTGCAACAACAGCCACAAAAAGTTTCAGAGACATAAGCACCACATGTCAAAAAGAAATGCAACCAAAGAAATCTATCTCTCCACATTCGCTTGCTTCTCAAAGGCCAAACACCATACAGAACAAAAATAAAACACTAGCAATAATTGTGTAAACACGGCCATTAATTATGCTTAGCAATGATTACCTAAGTATACTCTGCCAGGCAAGGCTACTTATATGGAAAAATAAAGTCAGGAAAAGTAGGAAGAGGAGAAGGAAAGGAAATGAGAGAGTGCAGAAGGGAGAGGAAAGAGAGCTTTTGAATTATTCGTAGATACCAGTGTTCCTATCCTAGAGTTCATACATTTTCTGGCTACCTGGAGACCACTTTGTTCTTTTCCACCCCTACTGTTATGTTATGTTCATCTCAAAGAACATGCTTGCAGTGCCCAAAATTCTGTAATGAATAAAGCAAAATGGTAGCCATGGGCTATGTTCCATTGTTCAGAGATTTCTCACTAGGTTTCTAAATTCTAAATAATCTTTCAAAACTCTGATAAGTGTGAATCTTCTACCAAAAAAACACATTTGGGGAGAGAACTTGCTATACATGATCTGGTTTTCAGAGGGACCAGAGAACAAGCTGCATAGGTATTTAAAATCCCGGAGCTGGAGAATTGAGTGGGAACTCCAGACCTGCTACATAATCCCGGACCACTGGGCCATCCTTTTTTTAGTCTCACTTGACTTTCATTGATGGGCAGAAAACTGAAGTAGGAACAGAAGAAGTTTGATAGATTCTAGCTGAGTGTTTGCCTTCTCTGGGCATGGGCTGGCCATTTGGCAGCCTGTGAGTGATGAATACCCAACTGTGGCAATTGGCTCACATTCAACAAGTTGTTGCAAAACCCAAACAAAATCCTCTCAGTTAGGCTTTCTGCTGGTTTACGTAGTAAACTGGCTTGTAGTTTGTCACCAGGGACTCAAGTAATGGAAGCATTTATGAGGCCAGATTGAGTCTAAAACATTACTTATAGGAAAGTAAGTAAGCCAGCTTCTTACACCCACACCTGACATTTGTCCATTCCTTGAGTATTAATTTCTCAGAGTTCAGAGAGCCCTCTGTGAAGGGATTCTCTGGGCCAGGACAGGTGTATCACTTCCTAGGTGGTCACTGGTGACGTAGTCCTTTAAAGCCTCTTCTTTTGCTCTGTTGAGATGCATGTATCCCTCTAAGTATCCTGTTGGACCATACCTGAGCTCTCTTCTTTTTTTGTTTTAATTACATTCTAGCAAACCAAAGACCTGTTTTAGGTGTCTGATATCATTTCCCAACATATGCATTTTCTTCCCTGCTATGTTCCCTGGCTGAATTTGACTCCCAAGGTCCTCTTGATCAAGATCAGTTGCCCTTCTTTGATGGTTTTCCTTGCTAATGATCCATCTACTAAAGGAGATTAACACAACTGAGTAGAGGCAGTAGCTTCCACTGTAATAGAAACTGAGCTATGTTGCTTTGGGAACTTCAAAGTGTGCAGAGCCTGTATTTATACTTCAAAAATACAAATTCTCCAAGGGACTCACAACTTGGTGCCTGGAACAATGACTTTTACCTAGTGGGGATGCAGCATCACCATCAATAATGATTATTGATTTACTGTGTATACTATAACTACAGGATGCTGCTGCTTTCCATGCTGACAGCTCGGTTGATCTTCCAGAAAGCCATTGTAATTGCTGTCTCAGGCCTGCAACTCCTAGGTGAAGTGCTATGAAATGGCCAGTGGGTTCCATGACAATGTGCTCATTTCTGTGTCTCTCTTCTTATAAAGGAAACCCCTTGATCTGATGCAATATTGTGTGGGATTTTGTATCAGTGGTTAAGCACTCTATATGTCTTCATATACTAATACTGGCCAAGGATCTGCAGGCAGGAGAAGCAAACCCTCACCCAGAGGGGAAAGATATAGTCAATTCATCACCACATAGCTGATTGATCTCCTCAATGAATGGTACTGACTCAGGGACTCAACGTTGATCTCTGTTTGACAGCAGTTATCACTAGATCAATTTTGGTGGATAGGAACCATGCTAGGGGACCTGTGCATAGGTTTATCTCTGTCATCATAGCTATTGTGCATATCTGTCCTTTGTATCAACACTGGGGTACTGTTGAAGAGTTGGTAACATCAACCAACTGAATCATTTTATCTGCATAGGTGGTCAATGACTTTTCTGTTCTGAATGAATACAAACACATAAAACGAAGACTTTCACACGTTCTGCCCTCTCCTATATATAGTTCCATCCACAAGCCTCTTCCTCAAACTTCAGATTGTTCTCAGTCTGACAGTATTTCTCCCTCCAGGATGTTGATCAAACAGCTGATCATTTGCAACTGCCCTTGAATCCCTGAACATTCTAA